TTTTTTCAGAAATTAGAGATTATTCTTCGACCACTATTTTGACCCAAAAATCCAAATTTGAAGAAAATTGCCGACCCGAAGGTATACTGTAACCTTAGTGGGTGTTACTGGTTATAAAGCCCTAACTTACGTAATATCAAATTCAACAGGACGAGAATACCGAAGAACTCTTCTGAAAGAAACTGAATGAATAAATGAGTCTTTATTCAGGACAAAAGTCAGACTGAGCAGAAGTGAGACCGGACAATCGAAATCATGAATAAAAGTAAGATAGCGTTGCATAACTGGTATTTATTAAAAACGTGATCATTGGATAATACGTACAATTCAAGAGTTTTCATTGGCTTAGCCGTCATGGTATATTTGTTAATCATACTATGCACTACAAATATGGTAAGTGCACCCCTGAATTTTTTGGGGCGTTTTTATGTTTAGTTTAGTTTAGTTTTCTATATTTTGGGGGCGTTTTTAATTGAAAACAAAAAACAAAAAAACCACTCGCGTTTTTGGATATGAGATGGTTATAACTAACTCGGCTCTACGCGCCTCGAGAGCTATTTATCATCTCATATCCAACTGCCCCGTTATTACCAACAACGACCACCTTTTGGAGAGTGTAAAGTGAAGCCCAGGAGGCGACTGGCTCATAGCTGCCGGGGCTTATCCCAGTTTCTCTAGCATGAAGCGGCTAGGAGTATTTCTACTCCCCCTGGACGGGATGCTAGTCTATCGCAGGTCACTCTCCCGCAATTTGTTAGGTTTCCCCGACAATTCGCCGAATTGAGTGGAGAGAGGCACTGTGAGAGTTGAGTGTTTTGCCCAAGAACACAACACCGTGTCCCCGGCCAGGGCTCGAACCCGGACCGCTCGATCCGGGGACGAGCGCACTAACCATGAGGCCACCGGACCACTGGAGTTTTCTTTATAAAATTACCCCGTTAATACGACCGATTAAATTGACTGGTGAAGAAGCTCAATGAAGACAGACATAATCGGACAAATAACAGCTCTAACGGACATTTCACAAGAGGCCATATCCTGCTGAGGTACTGAAAGACGTCACTGTTTTTTCGCATTACATGTACTAGGTTTTGTTTTACAATGGATTGCTGTTTTAATTTCCTATTTCCCACATTTTAACCCTTTGAATACAAAACTTTCGCCAAATCATACCGTTTTTAACCGTTTAGTCAGGTTTTTTAGCTGCCACGACGCTAAATTATTTATTTATTCATTTATTTATTTTGCACATCTTAAAACACAATTTTATCTCGTTCACATATAGATATAAATTTTTAGATATCTTTTAACCTTTTTACAATTGTAAATTTAGTTAGCATCGGGCAGTCGAAGATCCACCCTGTGGATATACTGCCCGAAATGCCATTATTATTATTATTATTATTATTATTATTATTATTATTATTATCATTATTATTATTAAATAAGCCTAAGTTTTGCTAAGAAAGCTTTTTCTTACTAAAAAGAGAGATTTTTCGAGGATTAGGTTCAAAATTGAGCAAAATTTCAATTCCGGCCATGCGCATAAGCAAAAATTTGGACCTCTTTTTTTTTGCCAATAACCGTTCTCAATTTTGTTCGTTGCCCCTTTCCTTTCTGCTTTTCTCGGCCCTTTTACAGTGGCTACCTTTTGCATTGTATGTTCTTTCTGGCTGCCGTGAAAAGTTGGAAGTTAATTACGGGCGAAGGCTAGAAATGGACCTTGATCAATTATAGGCGTAGTGGACCATTTTACTACCGTTTTTGCACCAAAACTGATAACGTTGTTTTTCGATTTGCGACATCGGAATGTCGTCGATATCTAAACCTGACCATTGTGCGAAAAGGCCTAGCCTAGTACTACCATCTGCTTATCAAGAATATTAGGTAATATTTAAATTGATGACGTCAGAAGTGGTACAAAGAGCACGACCATTAAGTGGCCGTATATGGCTACTTGGGCGTCAAAGGGTTGTCGTCATTGAGTGCCGTGGGTGTCACTGACTTAACCACTCGAGACAGGTGATCATAGGCACACTAAACCGGTGGAATTTGAAAACCGAGGTTTCACTCTGAAAACGCATCAAATATTTTCCGTCCATACTACACCGGAGAAATTTGAAAACGCGACAATCACCGGTCATTTTGCATTTGTTTTTTAGTAAAACCCGGAGAGGGGGAATATCATGACGGATTAGTGTGGACGGTAGGCGTTAGCGTAGAAATATATTAAGCTGCGTTTTCAAATTTTCTCCGGCGTATTTTAAACGCTCCCTTGCACACTTAGCGGACACGTGCTACTCACAGGTTCTTCACACTATAAACGAAAAATAGGCCAAACCACTAGTGTAGTTGTAAAAGTAGCAGAATTAGAAACCCAAGATTATCAGACTGAACAGCTGGAAGTATAGAGTCCTCCTTAGAAAGCTAGTGAACATAGCAAATGAAATTCGTAGCCCCCCGCAGACAAAGGTTATATAATTTGATGTCACCGGCATGGTGTACTAATGAAAATGTAGGAGGAAAGGATAATTAAACGTGGAAATAAAATAATTAGCATGAAACTCTGAACAAACAGGACAACGTCGGAAACAAATCTAAACAACCCGCCGTTAATTTCCTTTTTATTGTTTCAGCAACTGTTTAGAATGTTTTTCATGATTCGATTCGCTGCTGAAGTGAAAAACGAACGTCTGCTTAAAAAAACGAAGGTTCAAAAAAAAGAAAGAAAGAAAGAAAGGAATTGCGACGAAAACGAAGTCTCGGGGTACCCATGGAAAGGTTCAGTAGCTTGGGCATATTTGATGAGCGACGTGACATGATGACGTCATATCCTCAGTTGTGACGTAACATGCGTTGTTTTGACTGATAATAACTTAAAAGGTCAGTCGCAACTTGGCTATCTTGCAGATCTTGCGCTGTTATTCAGGTAAGCTACGGTATATGGCCTAACTTAGGTTTAGATTGTGATGCTAAGTTATCTTTGTTGTTGTTGTTGTTTGTAACGACGTCCGCAGTGTTTTGAATCAAAACAGCGACCCCTTGGCCCTTCTAAAAAAGGAGTCACGAATTGACGACTGAACGATTAATTCGTCTGTATCGGATGCGCCACTGAATCTTGCAATGATGGCTTTTACAAGCCAAGTTAGTTTGTGGCTCAAAGTACCTTATTGGTTTAATTTATACAGTGCCTTTAAATTACTCTCAGCACAGGTCATGTAAATCACAGACGTGAAATGTTTGTAATGTATAAAGAAGCTTTATATTTACTTTTCACAACTCCCCTAGAGGATACCAAGTAAGGCAACTATTCTTCCAGCGGCGCCCGGCGTCCGTGACTGCAAAGCAACAGGCTGGGCTAAGATGATTTATGAAACGAGGCACAGAAATCAAATAACTCTGAGGCTGTTCTTTTGTTTTCATGGCTGGGATATTGGCATTGATTTCATTGAATTACGCGTGAGCATTGTATTGAGAACGGTCATCGTTTCAACTAGTACTCGTCATGCGAAATGTTTTCATTGTCAGTCACACAATTTTATTTCACCGATGCTTCAAAAGAATTCACTTCTGTTTCAGTAACTTTGATCATTTTTTTAATAAACGCTACAGAAGAGCTAAATCCCCTCAGCGATTTACTAGAAATTTGCATATTGTGTAGTTATGCTTGGATTGAACTTATCAATCTATTATGTTTCCATGGTAAATTATAATTCTTGTGAGTGTAAAGAAAGTAGTGGGCATAACCGAAAAGCTGCTGAAGACTTAGCTTCGAATTCGAAAGCTGAGAAACCTTCGTCCAGTTTTGCTTTACTTCATGAGCTTGACTGCAAAACACCCCGCCACTTGAGTTAATTTATTCATGTGTACTAGTATTTCTCGTTGTTAAAAAATGCGTGCCAACATGTCAGTTTTGTGCACGAACGCTCTGCGTTGTTCAATAGAAGACAATTATCCAGTCACCAGTCTTCACGGCCGACGTGTCAGAGCCGAGATTCAGCTGAAGAAAGGGTCAAAAAAGATCTAGAAGCCTTTTTTAGCGTAAGGTGGTCAGGAACTTTTAACCTGAACTTTCGAATATTTCCGGAAAGCTTTGACAGCTTTGCATGGAAGGTTTTTCGTTTAAGTGCAACTTAATTTAACAGACTGCTCTACTCTACCAGAACGGGGAGAGTTTCGGTTTCAATAATATTTTGCAGTACACTTTCATAATTAGTTGTACATATATTGATTCTGTGACATCATAGAAATGCACCTCGAGATCCGAGGATGTTGGATTGCTGAGATAAGAACGGTTTAGTGACAATCACTTGTGACAATCACCTAATGACCGCACTTTTTACCTTTTGCCGAAGATCATATGACAGGTTGTTGTTTAGGGGCGAGGTGCGGGGGTGGGAGTAGGGATGGGGGGGGGGGGGGGG